AGCAGCATAAAACAACCAGTGAAAACTATATTAAGTTAACTCTATATTATGTTAGCTGAACAAAAATCACTTCAAAGACCTGTTAGTGTGTACGTGGTCGGCAGCTCTTGACCTGTGTCCCTTCACTGTGAAATCCGAGACGTGATGTAGAAAACTAAGATCATTAATTGAGCTGGGCTGCAGAACAAAAAGCACATTTAGTTTGTGGAATGGAGTTGGAATGTGGTTGACTAATATTCATTAATGTTGCATTCATCTGCTGGGTGATTCAAACTGAACAGCAGGAAATCATAAACTGACAACTGGTTTAAGTTGTAACGTACAATTCATCTGCTTTGATTCATGGCTGCTAGATATAAAACAATTCATAGAAACATAATTATACTATTATATAAAAACAAGTACGACACAAAATATTTCTACGACCCAAGCAAAAATCATTACAGTCTCTGCAATACAAGGATTTAGAAAAAATAAAGTTGTTACAAAGCATCTCATTATAATAAAAACACAATTTAATTAACTTGAAAGCTGATGCACACAAGTTGGTGAAACATGAGGCTCTGGTTGTGTTCAGTGTAGCAACCGCCCCAATGTTTCTGAGGCTCTCATTCATTCAGGAGAGGTGTGATCTCATCCGTTTGTCTGCTCCCATCTTCTGCAACCCTTTAATTCAAACATGAAATTAAGAATTACACCTTGTATGTTTGATTAAAGTTCCACATGCTATTCAGTATTTTAATATAACGTCATAAGTTAATAATTACCTTTGCTGTGGTCGTTGACAGAGATAAAACACAGCAAGGAGAAAGGCCTGAGGAAAGAGCAGACATTAAAGTTCATGTGATCAACTGCTGAGAAGGAAGAATCACACCCTTCTTTCTTTATACTCATAAAGTGTTTAACCCTTGAGCCATTTGCAGGCTCAGATTTTTAAATCACACACCAAGAAAGTAAAGGATCATGCGTCTCTGTCATACAGACCTGAATTGAAGCCATGAGAAAAATCGTCTCTCAAAGGTTCAGTGTGTAAGATTTAGGTGAAAGGGAACTTTATTTTATTAACTAAATATAAAAAGTAAACACAAATACAACTAAATATATGAACTTGATTTAAAAGCAAATAATCTTTTTTACCTAAAAAATACAAATATAAATGCACATCTTTTCTGCATTGGTCATTATGTAAAATATGCAAAATACAAATACAGATGTATTTTCATTTCCATCAGTCAGGCCCTAGCTCTTGGTGACATTAACTTGGATCTGAAAACCATTCAGTGTTTAAGATATAATAAGTTTGCATTGTTCACGTTTCCTCACATGAATCTTCATGTAAACACAACTTACTGCCATAAACGCCAGGCCTCCTTGGACAGCAGCCGCCCACTCGAAGCTCAGGTGCTGTGTGAGAAGACCACCGACTGTAGGGCCATAAAACATCCTGAAAAGAACAGAAACAAATCCCCACTTAAATACAAACATTAAAAACCAAAAGGAAAGTGATGCATGTAGTTGTGTCTCTGTACAGAAATTGATTTAGCTTTAGATGTCGGTAAAAACCACTAAAACTCACCCCAATGACCAAACTGCACCAAACAGCCCGGACACCATTCCCAGAGTACTTAGTCCTTCTTGAAATCCATTTTCACTGCAGAGAAAGCCAATTAGAATATGTTCCAACTTACATTAGGTAGAAAAAAAACCCACCAGGTCATGAACTTAGGTCCACATGTGAAGCCACTTACTATGCACATGTGATGATCTCTGGGAACGTGGGGAGAGCAGTCATGCCCAGAGAAAACCCAATAACACTGAGCATGAGCACCAGTAACCACAGCTGACTATGAAAACCAGCACACATAAAAGTTAATGTCATTCACCTACAAGAATTTACTCATGAAATATGCTGCGGAGACGACACATGCACGTCTCAATACTGAAAAACAACCTAAAATCAAAGAAACCATCTTTGAAAGAAATTAAGTCGGCAGGTACTTCGACATTTTAGTTTGGATCATGCCCTATCTGCTAACATGGAGGAGCCACCAGGGGCGATTAAGATAATTTGCCGTCATGTAGTCATTCATCTTTATTTATTAGTCTATTGTCTAAAGCTAACAATCTCCATAGACTCAGATATGAGAGTGGTTCTGATCTCTGCATCTAACTCTGGAGAGATTATTATGTTCCACCTGTGGCCCATGTTCACCTCGGGATGTGAAGGAAAGGAACGGGACCGAGGAGACAGAACCCGACTCCTGTGGCCAATCCTCCCGTCACCATGAACCAACTCCTCGTGGCCTGATGAACACACACACACACACACACACACA